GCTCGGAGAAATTTTGACACCCGAAGACCAGCTCAATCTTCTTTTCCCATTCCAGGAAGGCATCCGGGTCGTTCTTCCCGTAAAACGGTTGTATTCGGAGTTTCATCCCGGCGAGGTCGTTATCAGGTCGGCCTCGGTCACGGCCTGGATTGTTCTGCTCGTTTCCCCGGTATGGAGGATCACGGTCCTCGTCTTCTGAGTTTTGCCAGTTGCGGTTTTGTCTGTGTGGTTCATGCATGCAGAACTGACCTCCACGACCTCGGCGTGCACCTCGGTCATACCGTTGCCGGCTTGCTCCAGACGTGCGACCATCATCATAAAAGGGGTTGTCTAGGACCTCTTCCTGATTTTGATCCCTCCTCAAATGTTCTGGTTCCTCTCGATTCCGGTGACCACTTTGTTCTCCATCAGACTGTCGTGGCTCCTTTCTAACTGATCCATTCTTTGATTCATGCGCTCCATCAGCTCAGTGATTTGGGTAAGCTTAGCATCCATTTATTACAGATTGATCCAACGAATGTGGTTTCCGTCACGAAAGGTGTAGTAGTTTCACTCTCCGCCTGAATCTGAATAAGGGCCCGTTGACATATAAATTGGTACCTCGCAAAAGTAAACAAACACGTTAGTATCAAAATCTCCTCACTTGGGTGTTTCTCTCTTGAATTCACTCACACTCGCGATAATCTCACTATCACTTAAGAGATTTCTCTCAGTTCTAATCGAAACTCATATCAATTCAAGGTGTAGCACACAAGAACAATTCAAGCGATTCCAAGAAAGATAGATAGAAAAGAATTTGTTTCAACAGATCTTTCTCTTTTTTTTTTTTTGACTTTTTACCTTTTTTTTAAAAAATAGATCTAGAAAATACAGAAGAAAGAAAGAGAAGAAGGAATTTAAAAAGACAAAGATAGATAATACCGCATTTGACAAGTGTGTGGCCCTGATACCACTTGATACGAATCTCCTAAGACCAGAAACACTTGGGCAATGGAGGTTGAAAGATCCTTGGCTAGATCGGATGCACAGAGTAGTTGCTAAGGCGTGAGAGTGAGAACTCCCGAATATCCCTAGGCCCAAACTCGCGGTGCTCGTCACAAACAAAGGGGATGGCTGCACCGAGTTAAGTATCCGCGTTTCTAGGATGACAAGGCGTGAGAACAAGGTCCCGAAAATCCTTGTGCCCCTAAAACTACTTGAACGAATTACTTAAACAAGATGGATCGAAGGCTGCGTTGATTCCGATGAGAAGAACTCAATAAACCAAAAGAAATATTCAAGAGGCTGACCTCCTAAGAATCGAAAACAGTTCTCAAAAGAACAAAGAGAAAATCTCGGAATTTTATTAATATGAAAAGGTGAATGAGTTCCAAAATGAAGATACAAAGGCCTTATATAGAAGGCAAAGTAGCTCAAAGGTTACACTTAGAAAATTAAAAGAAAATAAATGCGAAAGACTAAAAACGTTGAATGACTCTTCGGTGGTCTCGGAATGACTCTTGGGCTGCTCCACCGAAAATTACTCTTGGACTTCCGTCCCATGATCCAGACCGTAAACGAAGTTTGAGAGTTGGGCAATGGACTTAACCTTGTTAAAACCCCACCTGGTAAATCCATTGGGACAAATCCAGGTGTAAGGAAAAAGAGTATTAAGCCATCACTTGGACCAGGTTAGCTACAGCCGGCGTTCACGAGCACGGTCACAACCTTGGGTGATGCTGGGTCGTCTGGTCCGGTCTTGATCCCGTTAAGCACAGCTTGAACCGCCCCTGCCAGCTTCTTGGCCCTAGATCGCGTCATTGGTCCTTCTGGTACGACCTAGTGAGTTTCCAGAACCTCGACTTATTTATCTGGGTCATGCTCTGGGTCCATGATCGTATCATGGAACCTTGACTCAATAATCTCGAACTTTTCTGAAGACCCCGGAGACTGAATCAGAAGGAAAGGCTTTCCGGTAAGGCCATCTATAAAGCGTATCGGGTCGGGAAGCTTTTGACCGAGAGTTCATGTACCATTTTGGCCGACAGAAGCTATCCGGTAAGCAGTTTTGGTCGAGAAAAACCTTCCTGCAGTAAGGTTTTTGGCCGATAACCTCCAAATTCCCAATTCCACCATTTTGCATCTTCTTTCACCGTTCCTTACCCTGGTTCTATGTTTTCCACTCCAAGTGACCTCTAAAACACCTGGTTGACACTCCAAACATGCAAGACTCACTTGGACCTAATGCAAAGTCCTAAAACTCTAAAACAAAGATAAAACACAATGAATGTATCTAAAATGCATGAATGAGAACTCTGTTCTTGAACCAAAAACGCATCCTAAACATGTAATGATATGAATATATCAACTCCCCCACACTTATCCTTTGCTTTCCCTCAAGCAAATTAGAACAAATTAGAACAAATTAGAGAGAGAGGGGTGGATTTTGGGAGTTCACATTTCTTTAAAGAGAGAGAGTTGATCATCAAAAGAGTTCAAGCTCATGGGCATTTTGGAGTCTCTCGGCCAAACCATGTATCGCAGGCAGTGTTTTCTCGTCCAAAAACCGTACCGCGGAATAGAACCTCGGCCAAAATCACGTACCGCAAGCATAATCCTCAGCCAAAAATCTCTTGTGTCAATACGTCTGAAAGATCGTTTTACCTGGAAGCCTTCTCGTCTGATTTAGCTTATGCAGTCCTCAAAATAGTTCAAAAAGATTGAATCAAGGTTCCAGAAGAGTTAGAATCAATGAATTCGGAGCAGTGAGCTGAAAGTTATGGCCAATGGAGGACAAACCTGTCTCGCATCCATTCCAGACCGATCCGATGTGCCTCAAAGATTGCCCAGGACGATGCCCTTCCCTTCTGATCCAGTTTCCGGGTCCTTCATCAAGATTCAATATCTTTGAGTCTTATTTCCAGAAAGATTGAGATCAACCGATTTGGAGCTCTGAGCTAGGAGATAACGCAAACGGAGAGAACACAGGTTTAGAAGCCATTTCTAGATCATTCCGTTACACTTCAAAGATCGACCGTCCGGGAGATCTTCTTCTCCCCGGATGCAATCAAGGTCTTCACCAAAGTTCGAGCTGGTTGAGTCATATTTCCTGTGGGCTTGGTCTCGAGTCATTTTGATCCCGGAGCTAAAAGTTACTGGGAGAAGAAGTCAAGCAGGTCAATTTGGGTTTCAAGAGTTGCAACTGGTGCTAAGTGTTTTGTTAGGCCTCGGTGTGAGCTCCTCGACATATTTTGATACCGAGGCCTATTTGCGAAACTTTTGGTCCAGACCTCGGGCTGACCCCTCGGTCATGCAACACCGAGGCATGCTTTGTAGGGGAAACTAGTCTCAAAATGACTAAGTATCAAGCTGGGAGTTTCAATGGGGTTTCATCTGGATTTTTGCTAAGTGCTGGATCAGGCCTCGGCATCAACCCCTCGACTTCACTACCTCGAGGCCCTCCCTGACATGACCCCCTCGATCTGGACCCCTCGGTATAAGTAAATCGAGGTATATTCCAAACAAATGAAACACTTCAAACCTCGGCTTAACCCCACAGCCTGTTCTATACCGAGGAGCAATATCTGCATCAAAAGCTCTAAACCTTGGTCTGACCCCTTGGTGTGAATGATACCTAGGCCCCCTGTCATGAAACCAGATCAAGAACAAGTCTGTTCCAACGGTCATATTCAAAGCTGGATCAAAGCCAAGGATTCATGCAAGTTCTTGGTGTATTCTTCATTTCAACCCAGATTCCAGGACCACTCGGCGTCACCGCTCGATCTAGGACTCTTCACCTCACTGAGGTCCTCATCCAACAGCCTAAGAAGACCAGGTCAGTACCCGGTTTGTTCCGGATTGACCTGCTTCGTTGACCTCTTCTATAAATACTTTTTGGGACAAAAAACCCTACTTATCCTTTATCTATTTTGAGAACTTACATCTTTTGTGTAAAACTTGGTTCTTTCATAAGAGATATATCTCGTTTTTAATCTTAAAAGGCTGTTTCTTAACATTTCTTTCCATCAAATCAAGCTTCTAATCATGATTAACAACACATCTTGCAAAGGATTAAGTGTGTTGATCATTATTAGTGAGTAGTCTTCTCATAAGGTCATATATGGTTTGACACCCTTTATACTACACTGATTAAGGGATTGATAACCCAAAGAGCCTTGAAAACTCTTACTTATCAATTGGCACCGTTGCCATTTGGGTGATTGTTCAGCATTAGTTACTGAGTTCATCTTGAGATCAAGTGTTTTCTTTTTGTTTTACTGATTAAACTTTCAAGTGCTAGAGTTTCAGGTTTATGTCACATAGACCAAGGACTAGAAGCAGAAGTTCTCAACCAGCTGAGCCTTTCATTGACAACAACAACCTGGTAGAGATAGCTGTAAGAAGAGAAAAGGAAAGAGAAGCACATCTTGAGAGGTTGGGTATGGAACAGCATGTGGATCAAGCTGAGCACCAGGCTCAAGTAAATCAAGCTCAGGCTGATAGAAACGAACAACAGGCATTTGTGAACCAGAATATGGCTGACAGGAACGAAAGCCAAGCTCAAGTGAATCAGCAGCAAGCGGCTAGAAATGAGTAACAAGCTCACATCAATCAGCAGCACCACCCACTACCTCCCAGGCGTCAAGAGCCACCTTCAGTCTTTGTTGGAGATAATTACCGGGCTAATGCACATCAATACAGAGCAGGAATCCAGGCTCCTCCAGTCCAAAACAACAACTTTGAGGTGAAGGCATCACTCCTTAACATGGTTCAGAATTCCAAGTTCCATGGTCTGCCTATGGAGGATCCAATTGAGCACCTGGATCAGTTTGATAAGAGTCTGTGATCTAACAAAGATCAATGGAGTTTCAGAGGATAGCTTCAAATTAAGACTGTTTCCTTTCAGCTTGGGAGACAAGGCTCATCAGTGGGAGAAGAATTTACCAAGGGGATCAATTCAAACATGGGAGCAGCGTAAGCTGGCTTTCCTTTCTAAATTCTTCTCCACCTCAAGGACAGCCAAGTTGAGGAACCAAATCTCAAGCTTTATCCAACACAACAATGAAAACATTGGGGAAGCATGGGAGATATTTAGGAGCTACACAAACAAATGTCCCCATCATGGTTTTTCTGAAGCTTCACTCTTGAGTACTCTATGCAGAGGTACTCTCCCTAAGATCAAGAATCAGTTGGATACAGCTTCTAATGGCAACTTCCTTGCCAAGGAGATAAATGCAGCAATGGAGCTTGTAGAGAACTTGGCAATGAGTAATGAAACCTATGGGGAGGATTATGACAGAGCCAATAGAGGAGATGGCTCTAGTGAGGAGCAGAGAATGAGAAGGGATATCAAGGAGCTGCAGAGCAAGCTTGACAAGGTCTTAGTGGCAACTCAGAAGCCATTACACTTTGTTGGGGAATTTGATGATCTGTCTCCAAGTTTTGACAATGTTAATGAAGAAGGTCTTACTCAAGAGGAGCTGAACTATATTGGGAATCAGAACAAGTTTCAAAGGTACTATAACTTCAACACCAACCAGAACTTTTCCTATAGAAGCACCAACGTAGCAAATCCCCAAGACCAAGTCTACCCTCCTCAACAAGGTCAACAGAGCTTTGTTCCCAAGAACCAATTTCAAGGGAACTATCAGCCCAAGCAGCAGTTTGTACAGCAACCCCAAGGGTATGGACAGCAACCACTTCAGATTCAGGGTAACAACTTAAACAGCCAGCCGAGCAAAACAAGTATCCACCAGGGTTTGGAAAACAACAACTGATTCAGCCACAACCTGTTCAGTAACAGCAGATAGGTTCTGATTTGTGTGGAGTTTTACAGCAGCTACTACAAGGTCAACAAAGGGTCGAAAGTAATTTCTCTGATTTGGGTTCAAAATATGAGGCTATGCAACAAAAGATTAAAGAGTTAGAGAAGAATGAAGCCTCTTCCTCATGACAACATGGAACTTTACCTGGTAAACCTGAACCTAATACCAAATAGGATTGCAATGCAATTACTATTAGAAGTGGCAAGGAGTTACCAGAGAGAGAACCAAGATAAGTGCTCATTGAGGACAATGAGCAAGTTGGTGGGGAAGCAGCTCAAGGGAGTGAGAAAAAAGATCATGTTGACAAGAGTGATAAGAGTAAAGAGGTGGAAAAAGATATGGTGCCTGAGAAACCATAGGTTCTACCACCACCATACCAACCTAAACTTCCATTTCTAGGGAGGTTTAAGAAGCAAATCTTGGAGAAAGCTAGAGCTGTGTTTGATATGCAGCTAAGAGAGACCAACTTTACAGTTCTAACCATAGAAGCATTCCTTCTGATCCCACAACTTGGAAACTTTTTGAAGGATGCTATCTTGAACAGATTAAAGGAGCTTCAAGGTATGGTTGTTTTAAGCCATGAGTGCAGCACTATTATTCAAAGGAGGACAATCGCAAGTAAGCTTTTTGATCTAGGGAGCTTCACTCTACCTTGCACCATTGGTCATTTAAAGTTTTCTGGTTGTCTTTGTGATCTTGGAGCTTCAGTAAGTCTAATGCCATTCTCAGTTGCACAAAGGTTAGGTTACAGAGTATTCAAGCCAGCTAAGATATCTTTGGTGTTGGCTGATAGATCAGTGAGGCTTCCCATAGGTTTACTTGAAGATCTACCTGTTAAGGTAGGAGGCTTTGAAGTCCCCACTGACTTCATAGTCTTAGAAATCGATGAGGAGCTTGTTGATCCACTCATATTTGGTATACCTTTCCTTGGAACAGCAGGAGCAATCATTGATGTGAGAGTTGGAATGATTGAGTTGCACCTTGGAACAGAAACTCTGAAGTTTGATGTAGAGGAAATGATGAAGAAGCCAATAATTGGTGGACAGGTCTTTTACATCGAAACAATGGATGAGTTAGCTGATGAACTGTTGGAAGATCTAACATTAGAATACCCGCTTCAGATCACCTTGACCAAAGAACATGGTGAACATGGGTATTTGGCTGTAGAAAGTGAGGCTTACCAGATGGTTTTGGATCAGCACAAGGAATTGGGTTCAGAAACAAGGTTCTTGGAGCTGGAAGCAAGATGTCAAGAGGATCAGGGTATCAGTAGTTCAAGCACAAGTTATGGGAAATTTCAAGAGTGTATGGCCGTGGGTATGGAGGCTGAGCACGAGGTCAAGCCGGCTGATGAGATCAACACCAAAGAAGCTCCGGCTGAGCAAGACAGTTTCATGGCCGATTGGGATGAGACCAAAGCGCCCCCTGCTGAACTCAAACCTCTACCAACAGGGCTCAGGTATGATTTTGTTGGACTTAATTCATCTTATCCTGTCATCATCAATGATAGGTTGTTAGATCATGAAGAGAAAGCCAAGTTGAATCCTTCTCTCAACCTCCTTGCCTTGGAACGAGTCATTGGTGCTTCTTTGAGCTTGGGAACAAGTGTTTGGTCTGATTTTGGTTCGATGACCTCATCATTCCCTCCGTCTTCAAGAGGTTTTGTCCTCAAAACTGTATCACCTGCATCATAAGGAGACAAATCAGCAACATTAAAACTATGTGAAATATAAAACTCACCTGGAAGTTCCAATCGGTATGCATTGTCATTGATCTTTTCTAGGACTTTGAAGGGTCCATCTCCGCGAGGAGCAAGCTTCGAGATCCTTTTCTGTGGGAATCTTTCTGGTTTCATGTGCAGCCAAACCCACTCCCCTGGTTTGAATACAAGTTTCTTGCGTCCTTTGTTAGCTTTCCTTTTGTATTCCTCCGTTTTCTTCACTATGTTATCTTGGGCCTTCTCATGTATCTTCTTCACAAACTCTCCTTTCTTGAGGCCGTCTAAGTTGACTTGCTCAGCTTGTGGTATTGGTGAGAGATCTAAAGGCGTTAGTGGATTAAATCCATACACAACTTCAAAAGGAGACATCTTAGTAGCCGAGTGAGTAGCATGTTTATAAGCAAATTCAATGAATGGAAAACAATCTAACCATATTTTTAAATTCCTACCAAGAGTAACCCTAAGTAAAGTAGACAATGTATGGTTTACCTCTTCGGTTTGTTCAACCGTTTGAGGATGACAAGTTGTAGAGAACAAGAGCTTGGTGCCAAGCTTTCTCCACAAGGTCCTCCAAAAGTTGCTTAAGAAATTAGAGTCTCGGTCGGAGACAATTGTTCTTGGCACTCCATGTAGTCTCACCACCTCTTTCAAGAACAAATCTGCGGTTTTTGTGGCATCATTGGACTTGTCACAAGGTATGAAGTGCACCATCTTTGAAAACTGATCCACAACAACAAAGATCGAGTCTTTGTGTCTGGTCTTAGGCAAACCTAGTACGAAATCCATAGAATTATCAACCCATGGTGCGTTAGGAATAGGTAAAAGTAAGTATAAGCCATGAGGATGTAACCTAGACTTGGCCTTGTGGCAAGTAAGACAGCGTGAGCAATGTCTCTCCACATCTTTCTTGAGGTGTGGCCAAAAGAAGTGATCAGCTATTATGGCCAGTGTCTTGTCCACTCCAATATGACTCATGAGGCCTCCACCGTGTGCCTCTTTCAGAAATAGTTCCCTCAAAGACCCTTGGGGAACACAGCCTCTTATCTCAGAAAAGTAACCCATCGTGCAAGTGGTATGAGCTAAAAGCTCCTTTGCCATACCCTTTATAAGCTTCTCCAAATTCAGGAACATCTTTGTATAGTTCCTTGATGTGCTCAAACCCAAGTACCTTTGCATCCATAGTAGAGATAAATGCGTGTCTTCTTGAGAGTGCATCGGCCACAACATTCTCTTGCCCTTTCTTTTACTTGATCACGTAAGGGAAAGTCTCTTTGAACTCCAGCCATTTAGCATGGTGTCTCTTAAGCGTGGTTTATCCTCTTAAGTGCTTCAAGGTCTCGTGATCAGTATGAATGATGAATTCCTTGGACAATAAGTAATGTTGCAAAGTCTCCAATGCTCGGACTAAGGCATATAACTCCTTGTCATAGGTGGAGTAGTTTAGTGTGGCTCCACTGAGTTTTTCACTAAAGAATGCCACTGGTCTCTTTATTTGATGTAGCATAGCTCCAATTCCCACTCCTGATGCATCACACTCCACCTCAAACATTTCATCAAAGTCGGGTAGGGCTAGAACAGGTGCTTGTGTTAAACCTTTTTTCATGGCTTCAAAAGCTGCATCTTGAGCTGGTCCCTATGAGAATGGCACGTTTTTATTGATCACCCCGGTGAGTGGGGCTGCCACCGTGCCGAAATATCGCACAAAGCGTCTGTAGAAGCTGGCCAAGCCATGAAAACTCCTAAAATGACCGATCGTAGTTGGTGTAGGCCATTCTCATAATCCCTGTTCACTTACTACAAAACCTAAGAAAAACAAGCCGGTTAGTACAAAATGTGCACTTCTTAAGGTTAGCATATAGGCCTTCCTTGCGAAGTATTTTAAGCACTAATTCGAGGTGTTGAAGATGATCATTAAGGTTCTTACTATATATAAGTATATCATCGAAATAAACAACTATAAATTTACTTATATAAGCTCGAAGAACCTCGTTCATAAGGTGCATGAAGGTGCTTGGTGCATTAATCAAGCCAAAAGGCATAACTAACCACTCATACAAACCGTGTTTGGTCATAAACGCGGTTTTCCACTCGTCTCCTTCACACATTCGAACTTGGTGGTATCCACTCTTTAAGTATACCTTTGAGAAGATTGTGGATCCACTCAGCTCATCCAACATGTCATCTAGGTGTGGAATGGGGTGCCTATACTTGATGGTGATGTTGTTAATGGCACGGCAGTCCACACACATTCTCCATGTACCATCTTTCTTTGGCACTAAGAGAACTGGCATAGCACAAGGACAGAGGCTCTCACGGATATAGCCTTTGTCCATTAGGTCTCGCACTTGCCTCTGTAACTCCTTACTCTCCTCAGGATTCATCCTATAAGCTGGCTTGTTGGGCAGTGCTGATCTGGGAACTAGGTCAATTTGGTGCTCTATCCCACGAAGTGGTGGTAAACCTGGGGGTATCTCTTTAGGAAACACATCTCTAAACTTGTTCAGGATAGTTTGCACTTCGGGTGGGATCTCAGAGTCACCTATACCTACGCTCAAACACTCTCTAAACATCATCAGTAGCACG